CACATTTGCTAACCTCCAGTCAACTGGGACCTCCCCGGTTAGCCAGGACTGCTGATAAATGATGGAAAGTGGCTTGGTGAGCACTTCTACTAGCTCCCTCAGTACCCTTGGGTGGATCCCATCTGGCCCCATAGACTTGTGTGTCTCTAAGTGGTGTAGCAGGTCGCTAATCATTTCCCTTGGATTATGGGGGCTTCATTCTGCTCCCTGTCCCTATCTTCCAGCTCAGGGGGCTGGTTACCCCGAGAACAATTTCAATCCCTAGTACAGAAAAGACACGGTTAAGTGCACCTAAGTACTTTATGCTGTTCAGTTTGAAAGCAGGCAAAGTTGAGCTTCACAGGGGCACTCTAGTAACAAAAATATATCCACAGTGTCAGAGCAGAAAGGTATTAAGTTTGAAGTTTCTCGGTTATTTTATATGAATAATTTTTCTCCCTCAATTTACTGCATTTAAAACTGCATTCTCAGTCAATAGAGCAGCTCACAGCTTCTGAAAGCATCATAGCCTGTTACTACTTTTCTTTCATCCTGATTCCTAACCACACTGTCCACCCCTTCCATTGCCTTGAGGAGTGCTTATTGGACCTTTGGTTAGACTGATTAAACTCACTAAGCCATCAGAAAACTGTCCACTTTTTTCTGCCCTCCCCCTCTCAAGTAAGTTGGTTTTCTGCTATGTTAGTCAGTTGAGGGTTGGGCTGACTGAGCTGATGAAAGGTCCAGCCAGTAGCAGAGACAGCACAAGCAGGGGGAGCCTCCAGACAGAAGCAGGGAGATAGGGTAAGGGGAAGAAGGAGCCAGTAAATAGTTAAATCCTTTTAGTCTGTCTGATACACCTTCATCTTTGTAATTGTATGGAACTGCAGTTACGTGATTTTTGGTGTGACTTAGGCTCCTTTGTACTGATGGACCAGATTTCCAGGGTATTTAGGTACCTGATAGTTAAGTGCGTAGATCACTTTGAAAATCTAGAGGTCTGCTTATCTTTCTAGGTTAAAAAAAAAAACAAAACCAAAGAAATCTTTATTAACTTTCAGATACAGGACTGTAGTCCTGATCTATGGAGAAGTTCTTGAAAATGTTACAGTATGTCTGGAAACAACAAATAAGCAACAGTCATTTCTGAAGAATAAAACCTACTAACCTGATTATTTTATGTCAAATGCTAGCATTCAATAAACAAACTAATAATGTTTATTAAACATCTCCATCAAAAGGTGAATGTTTACTTTTTTTTGTAGAATGAAGCTATGCTATTTGTTGCCAAAAGTAAAATCTACTCTGAAGATTCCCACTGATAAACATTTACTTCAACAGTTGGAATTATGTATAAGGAAACTTTTGTGTCAAGAGAAAGACAAAGATGTCCTGACTATTGTAAAAAGAGTAAGCATTTTTCTTTTCCAGCAGCATTTTGTCTTAGGGTTGTCATTAAAAGTTAAGATGATTAAAGTTATGCTTTCTGTTGATTCTCTTAATGTAAGAACAGGAGACTAAAGAATTCTGTTGTCTATTATGTAATTTTGAACAATTAAGAGAAGATGTAGTATAGTGCATTCTGTCAAATTTAAGAGAGTTGGTGTTTCCTTGGTTACTTATATTGCAGTTATTTTCTAGTGACTAGGATCCAGGATTTTGGCTTGATGACCATTTGTGAAAAAATAGCAGATGACTAAAGATAGGATTAAAGGTTGACCCTAGTAAAAATGATCAAGTCTTTGAGATAGAGGTATCTTGTTAATCTGTTTATTTTACAATGTACAGACAAACGATTTGCAGGATTTTGAAATGTTACAAATGTCTTTCTAATGTGAATATTCACGAAAAAGTACATCTTTAAGGGATGCCCATGCTTAGTCTCAAAGAAGCCATGAAATGAAGTAGCTAAAGTAGATGGCTTCTTATAGAGCCAGTCTGCAGGAGAGATTGGATGAACACCTGCCTGGAGCATCCTGCCTTATTCACAGATTCCTGAGTTGTTTTTTCAGTCTTGGTTCCTAGGTCCATGCTCCAGCTATGCATGCTTCTATGCTTTCCTTGACTGTATTTTGAGTTCCATATAGATTAGTCCTTCATTGTGAGTCTCAGCAGGGCTCTGAGAATACTCTGACAGTTTTTAACTGCATTTGTAGCACAAAAATACAAGCATAGGCTTCAAATGTTTAGGAAGAAAAGGCATGTTTAATTTTGAATACCATTATTCTAAGCTGCTTATCTGGACAGTTTTTTAGTTAAAAGTGTGGCATGCTGTTGAGTAAGGATAAATAATGTTTTGATTTTCTTTGTAGACAGTGTTAGAATTGGACAGAATGGAGATCTCTGTAGACGCTGTAAGTACTTACTAACTTAAATACTTACCGAGTACTTTTAATTCCCATTTTCATGTAGTGATTTTTTTATTTTTATTGATTTTATTTTGAAGTTTCAGAAAAGATTTTATGAAAATGATTTATTGGATCAAGAAAAAGAGAAAGAACAACTCCTTTTGGAAATGGTATATTTCATCAGTATAATCTGTCCTTTTTTTAATAGTTTGCAGCTAAATATTAATGAGGCAATAATTTTAATGTAGGGGAAGTGCATATTATGGAGAGACCTGATAGGTTCATAATCTCTGTGTGTGGTTTCATTTTACACTTTTCAATAGGGTTAAGTCCTTCAAAGTAACATATAACTTCCTTTTCTTTACTGCCTAAATTTTGCTCTATCAATTAGAAAGGCAAACTGAAATTTCTTGAAAAATACTCAAGCTTGATGCCTCTCTAGTTCTAAAATCCCAAGCCCTTCAGTACACCTTTATGAAATCTTTTTGAGGGAGCTTAGCAATTTGTCAGGCATGTATAACATAATAAATTGAATAGTGAAACACCTCAGAATTCACATACAGCTTCCATAGGCAAAGAAATTAATGTCGTAACTGCTTTTGTGCCAAGGAAGCCGAAAGAGGCTCTGTGTGTTACGAGCTTTCCTGTTAGCCAGAAAAAAAGGAAGAAAGAAAGGCCATTCGCATCTGCAGCCTGGCAGGAGGGAGACTCAGTGCAGGTTGTATAGAGCAAAAAGAGCTACAAGTTACTTAGGATTTGGAAGAGAAGTCTGCAGAACACTTTTCCAACTTATAAAACTATTTGTCTTCAGTCATGGCTGTAAGCAAAAGCTGCAGCAGGTGCTTCACCACATAGCCTACTACATCTTCACAAAGCCTGGATTAGATTACTGCAGTCCTCCGTTCTGCTGCCTCCTCTCCAGCCTGAGGTGGGAGAAGCTAAGAAGCTGATAGGATTTCATAGAGGCCGAATTTCATTAGCACAGTTCCTCTGACTTGTAGGAATTGAACTCCTCTGTAGAGAACCAGAACAGGTTCAAGACTGTTGAAAAAATGTCACTTTTTCTTCTTTGGGATTGCTACAGAGGGCTATGTTTGTGGCCCACTTTGATATCAATAGGTACTGCAGGCCTTCTCTTGAGCAGTTGATTTTCTCAGTTCATGATACCTGTCTCATGTACTTCCTGCCACCTCCCATTAGCTCGAGCCAAAGGTTCAAACTTCGTTCTTAGGACCTGCATACACATATTCAAAGACTTGAACTTAGTTTTAGCAGTTTTTAGGTAGATACAATTAGTGTTTTTATAGTGAAAGCATTTGGGGCTGTGGTAAAACATCCTCTGGTGCACTCTGTGTTACCGTCTATTGTATGATAACATTAATTTTGACATTAGCTGTTTCTACAGCTAAACTTTAGAAGAGCATCTGTATTTTTATGATATATCCCATTGATATGAGCATACCTTCTGTATCACAAAGGTATCATTAAGCATTGTCTGTGAGAGGCATGCTCTTGAGGAACTGGAGATGTACACAGTGAATTGTGACATGTTGCAGTCCCAAATAGATGAGGAGCCACTGAACCCAGTTAAATGTATCTGACAGCTACAGCTTTTAATACTGAATATGTTAATAAGTTTCCTTAATTTTAGTAATTGACTTAGTAGAAACTATATTCCAGCAACCTTGACCTGAATTAATTACCTCTTTTTTTCTTTTTTTTTTTAACTTGGGTAGTAATTAGAATGAAATGAAAAAATAGAGTAGAACAATTACGGTTCTCTTGGCACTTTTTATTATGAACATAGTACAGAAAATAAGCTAATATTGTATAGCTTTTTGAAGTTGGAGTGTTATCTATTCACCAAGAATCCTGAAGCAAGTATTGGCTTTTTTAATTATTGATATAGCTGTGTTAACACTGTCTTCTGTCTGTGGATGTGCTCTCAAAAGGTATTCTAAGGCTAGCTAATATTACAGAAAGGCAAATAAATTCCTTAAACTTGAAGAATTGTAATACTTGGTTTTGCTTTGCATAAAGGATTATCAACTGTAGATGTTAATTTTAGACCTTTAAAAAGTTTGAGCATATGTGACACACCTTACCATTTGCAAAAAACATTTTCATTGAATTGTATGTTTGAATTAATAATATTGCCAGCTCTATTATCAAACCATCTGTGTAGCACAAAAATTTTACATTGTCAAATGCCAATTTCTGTATCTTTTTAACTAAAAAAAAAAAGGCCAGGCATAATTTTAATACTAAGTTATCAATGCAAACTTCAACTCTGAGGTTCCTTCATAATTAAAGTCAACATTTTTTGGTGTGATTTTTATATAGAATATGTCACTTGATTTCATTCTGTACTATTTAATTAGTTCTCTGGATATTCACTAGGAGTTGTACTAGTAGCAGGAGGGAGTAGAAATTGACTGTTATTTTGGTGATTTGGAAGCAATCCCTAATTGAAACACAATTTATTTATTTTTTTCTGAGTAATACCTAAGAAAATTATTCGGTTTTTTAGGAACAATTAGAAAAAGAGAAGCAGCAAAATGAAGGAAGATCTACAAATGTTAATGACAAAATGTTTGAAAAGAAGCGTAAGTTTGTTTATTTGTGTACATATTGTTTGTGCATGCAATACTCTTCTACAAAGGTGAAGATGAGTGGACTGTCCGGTGGGTGAGGAATTGGTTAGATGGTTGCATCCAGAGGGTAGTGGTCAACGGCTCAATGTCCAGATGGAGACTGGTGATGAGTGGCGTCCCGCAGGGGTCCATCCATATTGGGATCGGTACTGTTTAATATCTTCATCAATGACATAGTGGGATC